GTGATTGGCTGATTAGAAATTAAGTGTTAATGAGCAGTTGGACAGGTGTACCTAATAAAGTGGCCGGTGAGTGTATTTATATATGACTGAAGACAATTCTGAAAATTTTAAGGAAAATTAAGAAAAAAAACTGACTCACTCTTGATTTTGTGCCAAGTCATCATACATCATAACGATAACCTGCTCGTCTGGGATGCCATTGCGGTGTACAATCTGATAAGCATGGCAGACATCAGCCTGAGAGAGAAAACAACAGGAGTCAAGCCACACTATTACAATACTGGGAAGGCTTTCACAATAAAAGCTCCAGCATTCCTTGAAAGAAYGCATATTGTCCACTGCTCTTCTTGCTTAAGACTGAGATCACCTTTAAATAATAAATAAATAAAAATAGTGATATAATAAATAAAAATATTTCCATTTCGATAGATCATTCTTTTCACTGAAGTGAGAAATAGCAGACGAGTTAGGAAGAGGTGGGAATTCTGGGGATAAGCTACAAACTGTAAAGTTTTAAAGGTGCCGGAAAATGTTACCTTAAGGAGAGAAATTGTATTTCTGTAAAATTAGATGCTGCCTGGTTGGGTAGTTTTGTGTTCAAAATAAAATCCAGAATAACATCTTATGAAAAAAAAAAGACTAAAGGAAGAATGTTTGGAATACATTGAAACAGATTAGATATAAAAAGCGCGAGGAGATATTAATTTTAACTAGCACCCGCATAAAGATTTAGGAGAGGCCATGGAGTTTAATTTGTGTTGGCAAAGAGATAAGTTTGGAGGAAGAAACGTRTCTAAATTTCAAGTGTATGCTATCTGAAGTTTAGTTTAACCTGCAGACTCAGTTCTTCCTCACCTGGTGCCTGTAGTTGTACCAGCCATTAGAACCTGCCACGATCACAACCCAGTGCTTCCCTCCGTCTGGCAGCTCCGCGGAGGGATATCCCGCACTCAGGCCGAGCAGCGCGAGGAGGACAAGCAGACGCATCTTCGCTCCTTCTGTGGAAGTCCTGTAGTGGGTGATAGGAATAACAAGCCTCCTTTTATATATCTGCTAGAAGAACCAGAAGAAGAAGAAAATAAACGTATTCACCGCGTGTACTSTAAGGTGATAAAAATATAGGATTTAAATGAGAACAGGACTGCCAGTCAGTGAGGACTGCATAAACACCACCTAACTCATGTATCACGTGATGTGAAATGACTAGCTAGCGAACTTATATTTTCTTAATTTTAAGAAACCCGAAGGGTACCGAAATACATTCATGGTACAATCTAATGATGTAAAAGTAGATATAAGATATGTTTAATTACCTTGACAGCAGCGTGACCAGAGACTGGAGGAGTGAGGGAAACAACTGGAGCGGACCTACATCCCGAGTGTTTATCAGGAAAACCGTCGTCAGGAACTTTTTCCACAGCAGCCAATCAAAGTGTCTGCTGGGCGGGGCGTAACTGTAATGGGGTCATGTGAGTTTTTTATTTATTTTTTATTTTTTAATAGAGCGAAAAACATGTCAGCCTGTCCTTCTTGTCTCTCCTATCT